TGTTCAGCTGTCACAGAATGGGACAAGTGAACCTAAGGTTGATTTGGTTTTGCATCTCTAAAGAAAAAAGAAAAACCTTGCGTTTGTCTTCAACTCAAAATATGGCAAGTTATGCCAGAGTGACTTATTGTAGAGGGTAGAGATGGTCAGACTACAGTGGATTCTGAGCTAATTAATTTCAATTCTAGTTTTTTCCCTTTCTTTTTCTCTTTTTTTTTTTTTTTTTTTTCCCTGTAATATATGCTCAGGTAGGAGATTAAATTGAGGTTAAAATATAGTTAACTCATAAGGTTTATGAAGGAGTAATAAACTACTAATGACATTAATAATGTGCTAACTGTTTTTATGATATTACTTAATCCAAGAAGTCAATCAAGAAGGCGAATGCCATTTCAGCTATGTTTTATTAGCTAAAGTCTACTTAAATATACTATCTGTATTACTGTAAAGTGTCTGGCTTCTTACAAAAACATGCAATGAAAATTAATGCGAGTAGATTCTCTTACTCTCTGTACTTTCACATACTTTGAGAGTTGTGTTTAGAAATTAATGAAAAGTGATCTGATAAAGTGTTTAAGGATTGTTTTTTCACAAGCTGAGATCTTTGGAGGCAGAATGTCTCCAATCCACTGATTGTATCATTGCCAGCGCATCTTGCGCGTAAAGGGAAGTAGCTTCTCTTAACTTCAAGAGAATAGCTCCATCTCCATTTGTATTTAATCTTGGAGCCAGGAAAAGTCATAGCAAGAGTAGTAATGGTGATGATGGAGTTTTGTTTGCGTTTTGAGTATCTGTAAGTGAGGAAGATGATGTAGGAGTGGTTGGATCTGGTCCACCAGGAGAATACATTTAATCCATAGTTTTCTCCATTTCCTTTTTTCCCCAAAATCTGCCATAAGTGTGTAGGAGCAGACAATGGTGTGGACAACTTAGGCCTGTGCTCCAAGGGCTTGTGATCCGTCATCTAACATGTGAGTGGTTGTAATGTCAACTGCTTGCATGCACTTTATCCTGTCATGTCACATGTGCTTTATTCTTTGTCATGTGTTAACCATACACCAACCATTTGACAGGGTTGTTGGCATTTTGGTCATGGGGGATGCACATATGGGAGAAGAGAGGGACATGTGGCATTTAATTGTCTTTAAAGAAACTTTGAGGTTTGCACTGACCTAAGGGTTCCTCACATCTGTCGTCAATCCATGAATGTTTGTTGCATGGTAATGATTTCTAGTGATTCCTGATAGGTGCCAGGTTAGAAGTGAAAGGCCACAAATCACACAGGCTTATGTCCTCGTTTAATATGTTTATAGCTGACAGTTTACTTGAGAAAACATTTTGCAAGTTTGAGCAATTTACTTTGTCTTCCCCCCCCCCCCCTTCTGTGGCAGCTTGCTGTTTGTACATGTAATCTGGTGGTGGGTGGAGTTATCCATGGTTCGTTTTGAAAGTGGGAGCACACTGAAGGGGAGAAAAAGAGAATTCAGAGGACTTGGGTTGTAAAGCACAGCAGGGGAGGGGAACTTGATGTGCAAGGCTCAGTGCACTTCACTGCCTCCCAGCATGGGTTTTGGTGTGGTATATACTGAAGCAGTTCCTGTGGATTAGGATGTAGGTGTTATGAATCAAGTCATCAAGTTTAGGATGTAGGTGTTATGAATCAAGTCATCAAGTTTTGATCTGTTGTCTGTATAACTGACTATCTCTGTTATAAAAAGTTCACTAGTGGGTCAGCTGCAATTACTCTTCCTCACGTGCGCCAGGCTGGTTCTTGATGTTTGTGATATATGGTACAAGGCTTCCTTCAGTTTCTTACAGACTTAAAATGGAGGGATATTTTTTTAAGCTGAGTTATTTTGGAATTGCCTTTTTGCTTTGTGGATATGCATGTTTTAGCACTCTTTTCTGGACTTTTCTCTATTTAAAGACTCCAATACTTTGTGCATTAAAGAGTCTCTTTGGCATTTGTATCCACTTGCAATCGTGTTTAGCCTTCAGTACCTTTGTGATCTTTGTAATTTTAAACATGTTGGTATCACTGGCTCTCAGTCTTTAATTTCTCTTTTCACATACTTCTCTACAGTTACTGATCTCTTGATCATATAGCTTCAGGATGTTGTATTGCAAAGATTTCACAAATTGTGCTGCTAACAGAATTTTTCAATGCTTTTTGGCAATTGAAAACAACCCTGAAGAAAGTCCTCGATATGAACAATAGAGTCTTAAAAGAACACGCATTGTATGAAGCCAAGACCTCTCACTGTGTAGTGTGTACTGCAGTTGTGTTTACCAGAACTAGGTTTCCACTCGTAGTTTCAATTTTGTTCTTCAGTCTTCATGCAGCATTATAGTCTTGTCTCCATTGAGCAGAATATTTAGCAATGCAAGGGTAAAACCTCAGCTCTGTTGTAAGATACTGTGCTTTTTTCTTTCTGTGGTCTTCTCTGTCCTTTTTGCTGTCTGTCCAAGTAATTTAGTTTAATTTCTCAGTGATTAAAATAGGCTGTTTTCTGGATCCATATGAAGGATCCATATGAAAGATCACATATGGCTATTGAACTTTGCAGATGATTTATTTGGTCCTGTAGCACTTTGAAAAGGTACTTATGGAGGTATTTACTTAGTTATATCTTACATAAATCAGAAGACCCACTTGTTTTAAGCTCCTGAACATAGGGATCTTTTTGTTTGAGGGTTTTTTCATGGCAGTTTTTCCTCACATCTCTCTGAGCCATGGAGGCCATCCAGGTACTGAGCTGCCTGAGGATTATAATCTCACATTTAACATTTGAGCCTACTATATTTTACTTAATTCATGTTTGCTTTTATTAAAAGCATTCATTAGGTCAAGTCTTTGCCACACTAGGGTGCTATACTGATTTAAGTCACATTTTTAAGGCTGGTATTACTATTTATTGTATTAGAGTAGTGCATAAAGAGTCAGTTAGGATCAGAGCCCCAAGGGGGACAGGTGGTGGAAAAAAAACGAGTGAGGGTTTTCTTATGCCCTGAAGACACCCAGTCTAAATAGATCAGAGAGAATAGAAGAAATAGATACAAGCACTTAGCTGCAAAAAGGGTAGATTTTTTTAAGTGGTGTCTAAAATGTGTTTTCTCCATAGCAACTTTTTCCACTTCCAAGCGTTCTTTTAGTGATTCAGACAGTTAGTAGATGCCTGAATTAGGAGTAAAAAATAAAATTTCGATGTTTGAGGCCATATTTTCATTATACTCATTTTAATGTCCATACAACATCAGCATCTGAGACTGCAGGAACTTAACTGCTTTACTTGTTGGTGTTACACTGAAGTTGATTTCGGTGAACCATAAAAAATTTGCCCCTGAAGGTAAAATTACACTGTATGCGTGATCCTAGCGTACTGCTTTGGGGAAAAACATGTCTTAAATCAACTCATCGCTCGCAGCTAAATTCCTTCTCCAAATGCAGTTTCCTTGTAGATAACAATGTTCAGAAAGACTGATTTTCTTTAAAACCGTAAAGTTTTTTGAACATAATTTTATCAATAAATGTGTTTGAGCAGGGTGGCAAAGAATTCACATAATCCTAGTCGATTTTGGGGTTTAGAGAAGGGAAGGTGAAGGCATCTACCAACATTTTTAATTAGCTTTCATCAGTACCTCTGATTTGTTCAAATGTGTTCCGAACATTTGCACACTGTGTTTGCTCACATTTACATAATACAAAACTTCTGGACTTCATTGAAAGTGTCTTTTGTAAATGTGTGCTTGAAAAATTGAAATTGAAGTTTATGGTACCTTGGCTTCTACTTGCTCAGTTCATAGTGTATTTTTAAGATGCCATCTCTTAAGAGCTTTGTTACAGTGATGTTTCTATTGGTGCTTAATATACTGTGGGTTCAGATGGATGTAATGGTGGCCTTGAGGGGTCGGACTAAAGAATACCATCTGGGTTTGTACCCAGATATTCTTGGATTAATATTTTGAGGCTTAGATCTTGTCCTGTCTGGAATTTAAATACAGTTTCCCAAGCTTTAAAGAGAAGGCAAGCACCATTTGACCCTCTTAATGAGTCCATTTTTTTCTTCTTTCATTTGCCTTTTTTTTTTTTTTAAACTATTAAAACTATTGTAGCCAGTGAAATCCAGGCAGTTACTTACAAACCATTTTTACCGCCCCACGTGGACAAAGTGCTTTAACTTAATCCTCAGTTTAATTCCCAAATTAATAACAGTTGGAAAGTTCTTATATCTGCAACTCCATTTTTCGAAGACTATATAAAGACAGAAGAAAATTCCCTGGATTCTAGGCAATACACTGAACTGTGGACAACTTTGTTATATTTGAGATGGCAAGTTGTTTGTTGCAAATAGATTGATTTTTGGTTGGTTGGGTTGGGTTTCTTTAAATGATTGCTCTTTGAAATGATTTCATATGTTTCAGGTGTTAAATTTCAATTTTATTCCTACATGGAGACAAGAGGCTTAAACTCTCCCGTGGTGGGGAATCAGTCAGGGTCTTCCTTCTGTTTAAAAACCTTTGACCCATCCCTTCCCTGTTCAGTGGGTACAAATGGCAAGGTAACTTATTCTACAAAGGTGGCTACAGATCTGCTCTCCACGTAACTCATGAACTGAACCTGCAGGGGAGAGGGTTTCAGGAGTCCGCTTATGGAAAAATACGCTTTAAAAGTATTTCTATGCAAAAGAGAGCCTGTCTGAGTAGATATTAATTAGTTATAAACCTTAGTTTTGAGGCACCTAATTATTCACACAGCCGTGATGGATTCACAGGTAGAGTTACAATTCCACTGTACTGGCAAGCAGCTTTTTTTGAGGGACAGAGAGAATTTTTTTTTGTCTGAAGCTCCAAGTTCTATAATTAGTTATATAATAAAGGACTCAGAAATGTGGCAAAACATATACAAGTGCTTAGAACTTTAACCAACTGGTCTTTGTCTCCTTGGATGTGTCATTATTGTAAGTGATTTAGTATCTGTTGGCACTTTTTTTTTCTTTCAGATCATTACTAAATATGTGTATGAACTACTGCAGAAGGAATGCCACTTGAAGAAAGTAACTCTCCCAGTAAGTATAATTTATTTTTTCAAAGGCCTTGTGTATTTGGATCTGTACACAGCATAGCCTGCAATCCCCACCCACATTCAGATAAAGACAGGATGTGCCAGGGCTCCATGCAGGGTATTGTCTCAGGATACTGCCTTTGCATTCTGCATGTGCATGCATCTGGAGATGCAGTTCCACCTCACTTCTCATGTGTTTGATTTCTCCAGCTGAGCCTTCCTTGCCTTACCGGATACCAGAATTTTCAAATTGTCATTTTGACAGGGGGAGCCATAAGCTTTCTGAAAAGTATTTGCAAGCTTTCTGAAAATTATTTGAGAATGTTCTGAGACCTCTACAGCTGGATGTAGAGAGCAAACATGTCTTTTCAGAGGAATACACTCACACTGCGTTTCGGTAAACTACTCAAAGTTGTTATTTAAAACACACTTTTTCAATAACTTGTAATAAGTATGTAATATAAAGTGATTATATTGTTTAATAAAAATATTTGATCAATCCCTGGAAGACATGAAGTGTTTGCCCGCATATCAGAGTGTTTGTAAATACATATTAAGTGATATTATGATGTTCAGGTATTTTTATATTCTATACTGGAGAGTGCAGAGGGGAGACTGTAGTGTGACAACACTATGTAGGTTTTCCATTGTCATAAAGGATTCTTATGCTCTTGACAAGCTCTTGCATTACTGTTGTTCTCTGCTGGCCCTTCATATTCAGTCAAGGAAACCCATTTAGGCAAAGAAAAGAAAAGGTCCTTTGCTTCAGGACTTTTGTAACATTTCACCATTCCCATTTCCATTTCCATTCCCTAAGTGTTTAGGGAATGTTTTGATAACCTGCCCAAACTACTAAAGGTTTCCCAGAAGGGCTTTTTCAGTGTCTTCTGGTCATGGCAGAAGGAGCTAAGCTAAGAGATTTGCAGAGCAGTTGAAGGGGAAGCAGCGTCTCTCTTCTCTACTCCCAGCCTGCTAGTTGCATGGCTGCCCCAAGACCTAAGACTGTTTGAGAAAGCACTTCCGCACTTTGGATCTCTTTGTGTAGAGAGACAAGGGCATTATGTTCATCATGGCAGTCTGCCTAGTGCAGTGGTAGTCATGATCGCCAGCTTCCTTACACAACTACTTGTCATCATTGAGGAAGTTTTGGTCCAGGGGGTACTTCCATGTACCAGACAGGTAATGTATCAAAAGACTTCCTCAAGCCATGTCATACTCTGTCTGTGAAACCAGAAAGCTATAATTTATAAACTTAAAAGTACCTAAATTTTGTGGCCATAGGACTTTCTTTGATTTTTAAAAAAAGGAACATAAGGAATATGCGTGTAAGTAATGCAGTACTAAGGCTGATCAACTAGCTCCAGAAAACGAAGATGAAGAAATTTGGAATAAGTATTACAATACTTCCATTACCTCTGTCAAACATGTGGGGACTCATCTTCCTGGCTCTGAGTTTCTTGTCTTGGGAAAGGAATGGTCCTGTTTAGCTCCCACTGTTGAGTCAATTTGTAATTTCCTCGTATTTATAAAGTATGTTTAAGCACTGATGCAGCTTGTCAGTAGTACATTTAAACTATTCTCAAATGTATTAGTTCCAACTTCTGTTAAGTGTCATAATTTAAGTGCATTTTTGAGGAAAGTAAGATTTCAGGTGTCAAATTTTGAGCATTGTGGAAAAATTGGCACAAGGTGTGAGCACCGCTCTTCAGTAATGGCTATTATTCATAGTGAGCCCTCAGCACAGTCAAAACGAGGTTGTGACAACCTGTACAAATATGAGAAAAATTAAGCAATGTATATAGAAGCTGAAAAATTAAAGCTGTTTAAAGGTTAGGGTTAACTCCCTACTGACACATTCCCAAATAATAATTCCCAAATAATTCCCTAGTTTAAACTAATAAAGGAGACTAATAGAAGTAATAAGACAGCTTTTAGGATGAAAATAGATGAGTGTAAAAATGTTGGCAAGTTACATATAAAATCACAGTAAGCTCACCAAAAACCAAATTTGAGGAGCTTGTTACAGTTGTAAAGACAAATAATAAAAAAGAGCTGATAAGGCTAATACTGATGACCTTCAGGTAGAATGAGAGCTCAGCTCAAACCAGAAAAATCAACATGATTATTTCCAATATTATGTGTCACATTTCCACACCTTTTTTTTTTTTTTTTTTTTTTTAAAGAGTTCTGAGCAACTGTCTAAAATGTGATGTATTGGCAGAGGAGACCTTAGGACAAATTAATATATCATATAATAATGAAATTCCAGGATGAGGGTTTTTTTGGCCCAGGGTTGTATAAGAAGTCAAATACAAAGCAGCAGAACAACCAGCTTGTATGTAACTTACTGCTGAAATCAGAAAATAATGATGATGATGATAATATAAATAATATATTAAGGGAAGCAAGTACAGGTTTCTTTTTGAAAGAACTACAGAAATTCATTGAAGGAGTTGGAGATCACATGAAGAAGAAAAATCTTGTCAATAAAAGAGTATATGTGTTTCCAACAAGCTTTCAACAAGCTTAACAAATGCTCTTAAAAAGAATATATGCAGGGAGTCTCCTTATGAGTTAATAATTGGTTAAAACAGGAAAAAAGTGTTCAAATTTTACAGATTGATTAATTTGTTAATGGTGGAGTGGTGTTAAGGCCTGACATAGTTGTAAATAGAAGGGAAAAAAAGAAAGGAATTAACACAAGCTAACAAACCTTTCTGTTTTTTTTCTAAAATTATTTGGAATAGTTAAAACTAAAGCTGATTGTGATGAGTTTGGAAATTATTTCATAATATGAAATAACTGGATGATTAAATGGCATGAGATTCAATCCTGGTAAATATGAAATTATGGGGAAGATAACTCACTCTGTAAACACAACAGTGGCCTCTGAATGAGCTATTACAACTCAGGAAAGAGCTTGGAGTGATTGTGAATAGTTCTCTGAGCACATCAGTTAGTGCTCAGTGGCAGTCAATGGCAAAAGCTCTCAAAGCAAATAGAATGTTAGGAATTATGAGGTATCGAGAACAAAATAGAAAAACCTAGTCATTCCACTCATTATGTGGGCCCTCATCTTGAACACTGCGTGGAGTCTGGACACCATATCAAAAAGGATATGAAGAATTAAAAAGAAAAATACAGAGGAGGGTTGCAAGGATGATCACAGGCATGAAATGCTTTTCAGACAAAGAAAGGGTATAAATAAAGATTCTTTAGCTTGGAAAATAGATGACTTGATCTTGAGGAAAGAAGATGAGTAATCTATAAAATCATGGAAGGTGTAGAGAAGATGAATAGGGAATGGGTTTTTGCTTTTTTTCATAATAGAGAACCTAAGGGGCATCAAGTTTAAATTATCAGGCAGGAGATCTCTGCAGAAAGAGAGACAGTACTATTTCATGCATGTCCCATTTATATTGAGGAACTCATTGCCATTGAATACTATCAAGGAAAAAGGTATAAATGCATTAAAAAAAAATCATTTGACAATACTAAGGTGGGATAGATGCTTTGAACTATTGTACATGCTTGTCCAGTTATATAAACTCTGGCTCACAAGATTCCAGAGTTACTGGTTGTTGAAAAAAGGGAAGAACCACTCTGTAACCACCTTATTCTCTTACTGTTCCCCTAAGCAATCTGCCAGTTGTCAGAAACAGGACCCTGGGACCTTGATCTGACTAAGATGGCTCTTACATATATGACCTTATTATGTGAATATTTTAAAGGTGAATACAAAACATTTTTTTCTTTAACCCTGTCATCAGTAAGTTGGTGTATTGGCTTTTCTTTTTTCTGCCAGCTGATAATAAAGCTAGTAGTGTAATGATGTTTGAATGTTTGAAATGTGTTTCAGGACTGTATTAGAGGGAGTGCACTTTTTTCAGTATGATTTTAATAGGGAGTGGAAACACTATGCTTTAAAGATTTAGCATGACAGCATTTCACATTCTCTCATATTTCTAAATTTCAACCTTGTGTGCAAAGTCCAACTTGCTGTCTTTATTTTGCTCTCTCAGGTGGCGCCTGCAGTTTTGGATACAAAAAAGTAATAAATTCTGTTCAGATATGAAAGTAAGACCAGTTGGCAAATCAGGAAACCTTGCCTTTTTTTTAATTATGCCAGAATCTTTGACAAAACATAATTCTGAACGTTTTTTCCTACACAGGGAGGCTGAGATCCATATTGCATTATTGTTACTGTAAAATATTATACTTCTGTTAACGTTCAACATTGGACTTGAAAATTTTCATGAAGAGTCACATATTCAGAGAGAAGCCATTCAGTTACTACTTTTAAATTTTTCATTTTTTGCTCCATTGAAGGTTATGTTAGGAATATAAAGAAGACTGCATGTTTTTTTTTTTTATCCAGATGAAGTATTTGTATTTCCCTAATTTTAATGGGGAAATCTTTATAATCTTTTTAATGAGGAGATCTTCAGTCATTGATCTTTGCTCTTCTTTAGCTATTCAGGACAAATAGAGTGTGCTTTTGAATTAAATGCAGCTCTAATGGCTTCTGGAAAAGCTTGAGATGAAAGTTTAAATAATTACTAACATGCTGTTGTGGTTTAAGCCCAGCTAGAAATTAAGCCCCACCCAGCTGCTCTCTCAGCCTCCCTTTTTCCCCTCCATCATGGTGGAATGGGGAAGAGAATCAAAGTGAAACTTGTAGGTTGAGATAAGAACAGTTTAACAATTGGGAAAAAAAGTAAAATACAGTAATAATGGTAAATTATAATAATGATAATAAAAATTAAAAAACAAGTGATGCACAGTACCATTGCTCACCACCCTTTGACACACCTCCCCCCACTTCCCAAACCCAGGTTGGCTCCCCTTCTGGATAACTCCCCCCCTATTTATATACTGGTCATGACTTTATATGGTGTGGAATATCCCTCTGAGCAGTTTGGGTCACCTGACCCAGCTGTTCTCCCTCACAGTTCCTTTTCAGAACCTCCTCCTTGGTAGAGCATGAGACAAGAAAAGACGTCCTTGACTTAGGGTAAAGATGACTTAGTAAAAAACAAAACATCAGTGTGTTATCAACAACAATCTCAATTCTGAATCCAAAACACAGTACTGTAACAGCTACTGAGAATAAATTAACTCTATCATAGCTGAAACCAGGACGTGTTATATTGACAGTGGCACCGAAAGGTCTCACTTGGTAGAGTCTTCTGAGTTATCAGTGCTTTCTTCTTTCACTTCAATAGCTAAAATTCAGTAGTTCTCTTCATTCAGTAGTTCTGTCCATCTACTAGACAGCTAAGAACTGTTTTTCTTTGAAAAACAATGGTCTGTTATCTCTACTGCGTGTTCCTTTTGTCCATTTTGTTACCCAAGTAAAGTCAGTACTTGTCTATAAAATTTCCTGTGATTTTAGGTTTGTAAAATTAGTGGGTAATGAGCAAGTGTTAATTAGTTGCCTGTAACATTTATCAGCAGTTCTCAGTTTTACCATTTTGAAAAATTCTAAATCAGGATTCTCAGTATTGTGAAGACTGTAACATAAATGAGTTATCCAGCTTTATGTAGAAACATGTAACAGAAGACTTTCTCATCTTGTGAAACAAATGAGCAGTTTTCTCCAACAGCTGCTCGCAATTCTCACAATATTATTGAGTTTTTTCAGTTTCTATTCCATTTATTTGTCATGTTCTTTCCTCCAGTTACAGTTTATACCTATTTCACTTCTTTGTAGGCTCTAGGCTCATAATCTTTATTGTGTTGCTTAACTGGAATAAGAAAAATGTTAGTGGAGTTTTTTTCCTTGTTAATGTTCAATCTTAAAAACTTCCAGTATACAAAATAAAAGACTCCTAGAGCCTCATATGTCTCTGGTTGGTAATGGCTAAGAACTGAAAAACTGAGCCAATGTCAGTGTGGTATCATGGGTGTCAGTAAGATTAGATTTCAAGTGTAGTTTGATTTTACTCTCTATATTGAAAGCAGCTGTGTAACATACTAAGTAGTATGCTTCTGAAATAGTCTCTAGACTGGTACTTCTTTATTAGGTGATAACTCATTTGAGACAGAAGTCATATGGAAAAGGAAATTCAGTGATTGAAAACCTTAAGAATGTCATAATATCCATAGAGAGCTCACACTACATTTGTAAACCTTAAGGTGGTGGTGTTCATTGGGAAAAAAATCCAAGAAAAAGAAAATTAAAGTTTAAACAGTCATTTTAAACAGTAAATTATCAGCATAAATTATCGATTTGACATGCCCAGCTACAGATTATTGGAATATTTTTCTCACATGTGAATAACAGTATTGAATGAAATAGTTAAAATAAACTAAAAAACATTTTATTGGATTTATTCATTTTGAATTTAAATAAAGAATTGGAAATCAGTGTCCTTGAGTAGGTCCAGAAGAACAAGTGGCTAATAAATAGAAATTATTTTACACGGTCTCAATATGTCCAGCTTTAAATGGTATTCTATGTTGGTTTGTTAGTAAAGTAAGTGACCATTATGTGCATTCTTTAGTGAAAGCTGGATCTACTAAATTAGTGCTGTTTGAAGATAAAGTAGCTTGGCAGAAAGTTTCCACATGTGATTAATTGGGGGAAAATGATGAAGAGTTATTTTTTATGAGCTTAGTAGATATTTTTAGCTGTTAAAAATTAACTTATTTGCAGAAGTGTGAACTAGTTATTGTCTATATATGTCTATCTATATATGCAATCACATGCATATGATTGCTAAGTATTTTCTATATACTACACAAGAATTTATTTATAAACATTAAACAAACAGCCTAGTTGTACATTTGTCTGAAATGCAAATTCACAGTGTTTTTCCTAATTATGGTGTTGCAAATATTGAGTTTATGTGTAAAAGTCAATTACACCTTGCCAAGTACTATCTGCGATCCAGTGTTGACTTTTTAATCCTGTGTTACCTTCTAAGGTATCAGTACTACTGTTTCAGAAGCAGCAGCATGATCTGACTGTAGCCCCAAGTATAACACTTACTGTACTTAGGTATTCTAAATTTTTTCAACAGAACATATTCTTTACCATATTTTGTATTTTCACACAAAGTGTGAAAGAAGGTGAGTCTGTTTCCCAGTGCAGAAAGTGCAAACTGACACACATGAGATGTTACTTCAATTTTGAGCAAGGAATAAGGTCTTCAGTGGTATGGCAGATACTGAAGAGAGATAGGACCATTCTTCCCCTTGGGAACTCCTTTTGTTCAAGAAGACTCATTCACTACATTAAAAAAAATATTTGGTGGGACTTGCATTAAAAAAAATCTGGAGATTCATGCAGAAATAATTTTTCCTATGTTAAGAGTGGTTATGACTATGTACACATGTATGGGAAAAAATTAACATAATCCAATTAGCCATTCCTTCTTTCTCGACATGAGGGTCGTATCCTGATCTGTGTTACTTTACTTCACTGTTACAGAGCCTGTTCCTAGCACCTGTACAGTTAACCTGTGGGGGTGGAGGGGTGTGAAGTACAGTAGGATTAGGAGATTTGCTTGTTTTGTTCTTCCTTCTCCATGTAGAAAGGGAAGAATGAGTAGACATGAGATTTTTTTTGCCCTTGTGGTATTCACACCAACACAGTTCTTTTGTCTTGAGACTTGCTAAACCAAATGTAAAAACTTCAGTATTTATTGAACAAAAGGTGTTGCTTTACTCTCTTACGGACAAAATGTGGTATTAGGTTATGATTTACTGAATATTGAAGCTGATTGTTGGTCTGTTTCTATGGCGCATTAACTAAGTATTGACCCAGGTGCAGGACTTTTAATGAAGCTATTATTTAGACCCAAATTGGATTTCTGTATTTTATTAGGCCTATCCTATTAGATTTATAATAGACAAATTTACAATACTGGTTCCTACATGGCTGATTGGGTATTTATATTGAGGTGGCTGATTTGGAACTCTCTGGGATTTTTTTTTTTTTAATTATGTAAGAATTTTATTGTTGCTTCAGGCATATCAGAGGTGAGAAATTACTTGATCCCTTCCCCTCCCAACTGTTCATTTATGGACTTCCTATCTTTCCAGTAAATTTCTGTACACAACTGATGTTTCAAAGCTAAAGCACACTTTTTGCCCCTTTTCTGTTTTAAATTTCTCTTGGATTGCTCTTCTAAAATGCAGTATGTTTTTATGTTTCAAAGTTACATTGCACAAATACTAGCTTTTGCTTTATTTTTATTTAATACTGAACAGACATTAGCCCTTATAACATGCATTCAAATGCAAGTTGTTAAACTGTAAATGTTTTTATATCAATGTGGTAGATAACTTTGTAACTGCAGATGTTCTTTTAAAGATTTTTTGTTAATGCATTAAAGTGTATGTTGTCTGTAATTGCAGGTTGATGCAACTGAGAGTGAACCAAAGAGCTTTATCTTTATGAGTGAAGATGCACTAATAAATCCTGACAAGCTCCTGGTCCTAATTCATGGTAATGGTGTTGTCAGAGCCGGTCAGTGGGCTAGGAGACTTATAATTAATGAAGATCTGGACAGTGGCACACAGATACCATATATAAAGAGAGCTATTGGAGTAAGTAGAAGTGAATGTATGTGTAAAGGTTGTGTGTGCTTATGGATGTGTCTGCATACTGTATATGAAGAACTGTAAATCTGTGATGTTCCAAGTTTTTAATCAGTGTTTCATATTGTAATATCTGATCATTTTAGTTTTGATGGCAACACTTGTTTGATTTTATTGGAAGTGTTTTCTAGTGGAACCAAATTTCTCTCTTACAGTGGTGGCACTGCCATATAGTTTAATATGGCAGATAACGTGACAAGAGCCCTTAGCAGTTGATGAGATGCAATAGAAGGCACTACAGAAATTTGTTATGTTTTCCTTTATAATTCATTAAGTTTCTACATATTCTCACTTAACATCTGTTGTTATCTCATGATAACATGAGCTTTCATGATAACAGCAGGTTTTTTTGCTAGGCTTGTACTGAATTTATTGGAGGCACAGTCTTTTTCAGTTTTGTTCTAAATACTGATTCATTCTGATTCAGTACTACTTATCAATACTTGACAGTAGAAAACATTTACATTTTATGGACACTATTTTGTTACATTTACATCTGTTTGAGAGGCAATGGACAATTTATGTTATGTTTTTATCATTGGAACTTTGTAGGTGTAATTAATCACTTACACCCTCCTACCTAAATGAAATTTCCTGTAGTAAACATTAGAAGAGCCTATTTAAGACTATTATTTCTATTATATTTACCAATTTAAGCTAATGTGCTACTGTAAATATCAGTGTTGTCACTGTTATTGTTTCACATTTTGCTGAATGAAGTTTTAAATTTTTTGCAGTTGTCTTTAAAGTCTAGGAAATGGCTTTCTTCTTTTTTTACTATTTTTCCAATGATGGGAAGGAAGAAAGCATATAAAATATTAGTTGTTTTATATATTTTATATAAGTATGTTTTATATAATAAATATGTTATTTTTTGTTTGTATTACGCATTATCAAAGTACCAGAGTACACTTCATGTGAAAAAGTAACGTATGCTTGTAGAGTGAGACTTGCCTTCTTCTAACATAAAGTTTTTTATTAATTTTAAATCAAGACTCAGAGACAGAACAAAAAGTAGTTTAAGATTACTAAGAACAGTACAACTGTATGGTAGGTCCAGTATAGGACCTCTAGTGCAGGTTCCAAAACCTTTCCCAAAAAAACCTAAATAGCTGTAGCTACTTAAAATTTTGTAGCAGTGCTTACATACTTGCATTTTTGTTCTTTCCTAGAGGTTGCTGCTGTCTTGGGTAACACGAGAGACTGAGTATTTAAAACTGGGCTCCTAAGCTTAAATTAACAGTTAATTTTTAAGGGTATTTCTAGTAGAGGAGAGTTATACTTCCTGTTGCTATTTTTGTATTTTTATTTATTTTGTGCAGTGATTGTGCCAGCATGACAGATACCAGACCTCTGTTCTCTCAAATGAGTATTATACTTAAAACTAGATTATCTGTTTCTGCATTTTGAATGCTTCTTAAAAAAAAATAAACTGAGAAAAACCCCAAATATTTGATGAGAAAATATCTTTAAAAAAATGTAATCACTAGATCACAGTGGGGCATCCAACTTTATGTTCTTATCTTTGAATTTTTTCTTAATACAGTTTTTAAATTAGTAAAACACACTCTTCTCTTTTTGAGCATCTTAAAATTCTGGTAAATGTACTACTTGTTTAGAGCCCCTGGTGGTCTAGGGGAAAAGACACTGCACTGTCACTGCAGAGACCCGGGTTCGATTCCCGGTCGCGGCCCCTCCCCGGGCAGATGGAGCTCGTTAGCCCTGTAAGGCAATCCATCTACGTCCTGAGGACCTCGCTGCCACTGTCCAAGCGTGCTTGGCCCCGGCAGATGAACCTCAGGATTAAAGGGTGGGCTCAGTTCTGCGCACACTGTGTCTCACCTAAAAAATCCAATGCGCAGGCTGGAAGGTGTAAAGACCTTCCCCGGTTCTTCGTTCGCAAAGACTGGCCATTACTTACTACTTGTTTAGAACACACACTATTTGCAATGATTTTTTTTTTCGTGCAAAATGAAGATTAGATTGTATTCAATTGTGTTTTGATCACTTGCATCATTAAGTGCATTACTATTTTTTTGTATCTTGTAATCACTGTAGTGGGAATTGGTTGTATTTCTGACTAGATAAGACAATATTTTATGGAAGTTGGATCCCACTGAGGTTATTTAGAATCATTAAGTTATGACTAAAAAGAGAATACAGGTAGGTACATGCTGATATCACGTCAACTTCTTCCTCTGATGAAATGAAATTAGCTAGCCTAGACGATAAATGGCCTGAATAAAAACTGTGGTAACTCTCATGCAACATAGCCAGTTTGAAGTAAGGAATTATTTTCCTTGATCTTCCTGTGTTTCTTCTAAGAAGAGGTCTCATCCTTGAATGAAACCAGCAGACCTTATCAAAGCATAAGATTACACTGCTGATGACAAGAGAACATAGGATTTTTTTTTTAATAGACTTCTGTGAATTTCAAGTGGATAATGGTATCTAGGATTTGAAAATTCCGCTGATCTGTTGTGCATTTTAAATACATGCAGGCTTTGTAGGCATCTTAAAACATCTGCTGAAGACTAGGTTTTAGTTTAAAAAATAAAAATTAAAAATTGCAGAAGTACTGCTTAAATGTCTTATGTGCAGTAACTAGTTCAGAAATACCTGCTTTTCTTAAAACGAAACCAAATAGAGAAACAAACAAACAAAAAACTTTAAGAAGGCCAAACCCATATCTTTTTCTCTGCTGCTTTTCTCTTGCTTCTCTTTTCAGTTCATTTCTTGGAAAAACTGAAAACAGAGATGTAACAGCTGAAGTAATCAGTGAGCAGTGGATTGAGCGGGATGAACTGATACTGCTAAGCAGGAAGTTAAGGAAAGAGTAGAACCTATTTCTCTATGATACAGCTTTTGAGGAAAAGAATTAAGAAATCCTGCTTTTCTCTTAGAGCATGTATAGAATATGGAATGTACAGGCTTAAAATTTATCATATTTCTATTATTTTGGGGCTGTTACACATTGTAAAGAAAAGATGCAAAGAGAAATATTCTGGTGAGAATTCAAGTAGCTAGAAATGTGTTTCTGATTTTAATTTGTGTGTTTCCTGTGGGTAATGCTTCTGCTTCCATGTGTTACATCAAGTTCTGTTGTGTAGATTTGATCTTTTATGTAAGAGGTTTTGGGAGAAGTTGACAACCGTTTATGTGAAGAGGTAACATTATTGTGTTAATCTGAGTATTCAAACTTGGTAGTGTGGAAGAGATGTTGAAATATGAAAGAAGAGAATAAATAAGTGACTAGACAGAGAACAGATTGTAGGAAATGGGGGAGGGAGAAAAGTGTATACAATGTGAGAAACAGATCTGTGTAAATACATTAAAACGCTGTAGGACAAAACCTGTTTTAGAAAAACAAGTATGAAAAAGACAAATCTGATAATAAAGCAAGACTGTAACAAAAGCTTGATTAAAATAAATGCTTATTATAAAGGTGTTTTTAAGCTAAAAAGCTGACAATTTCCTATAATTGCTGAAACTCTCTGCAGTGGAAAATAATGATTTTTGACAGAAGCACTAGTCTGACATATAAGAGACTGCACTTCAAGTTTCTCCTCCTGGAATGAGGGAATATTCCACTGATACGAGAATTCTGCACTGAAAACATTCCACTTCTCTTTTTTTATTTAAAAAGTAAATGAAATAAACAAATAAATCAAGTGTAGATTAGAAGAGTAACTTTAGTCTGTCTCTTTTATATTTTGCCTAAGTGGTTTGTCCGCTGTCAGTACGATCAGGCTCTTAGTAGATCACTTATTATTTAGTCATACATCCAATAACTGAAGCAGCACCAGTGAGACAGTGACACAGAGGTAAATTCTTCAGTTCAGTGATGAGGGCATTAACTTGGAAAGTTGAGAATTAAGGATTTATGTTCCTAGTTTCATTGTGGCAGTTGAAGGGTTCCCATATTCCCTATGTTAGAGAAGGGTAAGTTGATGAACTTATGGAGGAAGATTGTTCCTTGGGGAAACAGGAGCTCAGATTATCTTGGTTTGGGCATTGTGAAGAATTGTGGAGTACTTTTATCGTTGATACCTCTCCTCTAAAGAATAAAGAAGACATCAATTTACTGCACAAGTAAAAAGAAATTGTTGGATATTTTCTGTGTCTTTGTAAATACAGTAAATTTATTACCTAAGACAGTTGTGGTCCCAGGGATGTTAAAAAAATTCAACCACAGCAACTTTCACTTATTTGATTTTTTAAAAAATCAAATTTAAGAAACCTTCCAAAAATGTTAAGGTGTCTTTGATATTTTTATTATTATTTAAAGGAGACTTAATACTTGACACAGACCAGACAAATAGGTTCTTCAGAGAACCTGGACAAGTTTTTCAGGAGGAATTCAGCAGCACCTGCCTGACATTGCCTGAACAAACAAACAAACAAAAGATTTGCATGAGATGGATATTCACCATGGAATATTTCTTTAATGACTGATAAAATACGATTTTCAGCTTTGGTTTTCTGTTGTGTTTATCTTACTCTTAATTTTTTTTACAATTTCTGTTCTTAAAAAGATTTTTGATCATAATATTGGATTTAAGCACTTAATATTATTCATTTGTACAAAACTGTCAGGTTGGCAATATTTACTAAGAGTTGGTGAGGGTTATTACTTTCCTCTGCATGCGGTAGGATGTCATTAGTTTTGTTAGTCAATTGAATGAAACAACAAAGTCATTCAGTGTAACAGCAGTAAATTTCCCCACCATAACTTTTGTGTGATTGCGTAGTCTTAATGGTTAGTGTCTAGTACAGTAACACATACTATTCTGTATTTTGTCTTTCTATTTTGTAAAAATCAGTCAGTTTCAACAGTGGATATTTACATATTGTTGCCCAGAAATTATGCTTTGTTTAAACTACACTAACAAAAATTCTTGCTAAAAAACTTTTCAGTCTCACTTTTAATCATAGAATGTCTTATTAGA